TACTACTTTTGCGTGCAGGCCAACGCGCCTCTTGCTGCTTGTCCAGCTGTTCACCGGCATCCATGCAACAGTTGAACATGGCTAAATTGAAAGTTCTAATGCGCGAAAGGCGCACCAAGCACTCCTGGAGTGGCTTGGTCAACACTGAGACTTTTTTTTACTGCCCAGGTTTGAAAGTTGTAGCTATCTGACAGATCCTTGGGCTAAAGTTCTATCATGGCTATCTATGAGTTGAATGGCACGGAGAGCAACCCTCTGAGCCAGAGAGGGAGTAGAAAGCTCGTGTACCCCAAGCTTTGGCAATTCAGCAGCACAGCATGGCAACAGTACGCCATGGAGCATGAGGCACCTGCCTTCTTCGGCTCTGTACCGACATCAAGCTGCGAATCGACCTGGAAACATGATTTGGCAATCGCTGTAGATACTTCTGATAAAAGAAAGCGTTTGATGGTTTCATGATCACTAAGTAGCACCTAATCTTGACAACAGTTCCACACTCGTCCGTCAAGATCTGGGGCACCTCACCCGACGCTGAGCCAAGGCAACCTGTGCAGCTTCAGCCTGCTCGAGCAGCGAAGGGTACCTGTCCGTTCATGAAGGAGGACGCGTAGATCTAGGATGACTGTCAGCGTGGCTGAGACTTGCTCGAGAAAACGCGCACTTCTGCATGTCCTCCACGGCAGACAGGGCTGCGGCATTTGTGAGCTCCTAATGATGCAAACGACCCCAAAACGCGCCAGGCAAAGAAACGAGACGGGATACCATGAGGGAACTTTGCCACTGGTGACTACCCAGGCACGGCGGCTTGCGATCACCTTTCAGCGCTTACCTGTCATCACTGACGCTTAACAACACCTGACCTGACCCCTCACGTTCTTCTGGGATTGGGTGTTGTCCAGGTTGAATGCAAGACTTGTGAACTCAGGGCTTATGGTTCTGCACGGCCAGGATATGGAGTCTTTAATAAGGTTACGGCGCAGGAAGTTTTAAAGATGTTGAGGGTTTCAAGGTTTGAATTCGAGTTCGAGAGTTTTGATGGTGAGGAATTGAGATGATGTTGTGGGCATAATACGGGATTTTCAAGATTTTCTTCAGCTCAGGAATTTGAAGTTGTCAGGATCTAGGTTTTTAAGTTTGAAGATGGGCTTTAGCGTTTGTCATAGTAAGGGCTTAAGTTTTTGCAGGTTATGGCTGCTCCTTATGATGTTTGGGCTCAGGGTCTCGGGCAGTTGGCTGCGCAAACATGTCTGTATAGTATGGTGTTACGGTGTTACGTTGTATCTTCCATGGTTGGGAAACATGTCAAGGTATGTTGGATAGAAAATGGTCTGAAACAGAATGGCCTCAAATATGCAACTACGGGCAGCACGGATGGATTCGAAGTGAAGACATCAGCCAGGGGACCCATGCGGACAATCAAAAACTACCACGCTGCCAACCCAAGGCCATCACAAGCTACCAAGCTCACGTTGTCAAGAGACGTCAAAAGCAACCACCCATGAGAAAGAAGAAGAAGAAGAAGTTTCAGTACGACATGCTTGTGGTTAATAAATCTCCTAGATTGAAAGACAATTTTGCGGGCCAAAATTTGGGGTCAAAGATAAGTTCAAAGGCAGAGGCACTTTTGGACCAAAACCCCCTAGACTTCAAGAAAATTAGCCCCAAACCCTAAGAAAATGAGGCTACAGGTAAGTTTTAGGCTCTAAAACTAAACCTGAAACCTAAATCTGAGGTCCTATACCTGATCAACTCTAAAACCCTGCTCTGTAGTTCTAGGAAAGTAGAAAGACCTACTAGCTCTAGCCCTACATCCCAGAATTTAAGAAGCATATTGGGTTTGGAAATCTGGGTTGCTTACTAAAATCTATTGGGAATTTCTGGGGGCCAAACATTGCTTCCTGAGTTACTCCTTATGGGTGCTACTGCGTGGATTAATAGGAAACCCCTAGGACAATAGAAACTTTGTGGGGGTTCCAGCAGATGGCAGCCTTGTTTGAATAAGCCTCAATACTTATGGCATCCAAAAATCTGAGAAGCGTAGAGAAACAAACAGATGTCAATGGATTGTACTGAGATTTCTATCGATTTTACTTGGAGGCCAATCGGATTTCAATTGATTTTAATTAGAGTTCTATTGATATTCCTTGGAGTCCACTTAGATTTCAATGGGTTTTAATTACATTTCTATTGATTTTACTTGGAACCCACTCAAATGTCCATTGATTTTACCCAGATTTCTATTGATTTTAGTTGAACTGCAATTGGAGTTCAATTGATTTTGATTAGATGTCCATTGATTTTACTTGGGTTACACTCAGATTTAAGTGGATGTTACTGAGATGTTCATTTCCGTCTTGCATCTGGTTCCCCTACAATAATGGGCCGCGTGTTGTTGATATGGGGAGGGGTGCCGGGGGGGGCGCCCTTCTTAAGCACAAGCAAGGATTACGGCTGCCGGGCAAAAGCTTCAGAACAAATTTTGATATATTGCGTGCCGAGACTTCTGGCCTATCAATTTTACTTGAATGATCCTTAAAATAACACCCGACCTGTGCTGAGACTAGTGCAAGCACGGCCGTCTGGATTAAGGAGAGGGAGTTCGAAGGACGAAGCAAAGTGGCAGTGGTTGGTAAAGTGTTGCAGCTCAGGGTCCACCATGACGTCGCTGAAAGCCTCCATCGCCTGTCGGGCTATCTGGAGACATCGGGCCACAGCTTGATGACAAGCCTATTCACATTGACCACCGAAGCTACTGTCAAACCTGCAGCCGCCGACTTCAAGAGCAGGCGCCTTGCTCGGTCGCGGCATTGTCTGCAGGAAAGCCTATGAGTCCAGAACATGATTCGTGTCAACGCCTCTCAAGATCTGATGTTGTTTGGCATGGCAATCACCCAGAACGAATTGAGGGGAAGTATATGGAAGTATTTATGGCGGCTCTTAAAGTCAGTTGATTCATCAACCAAAGGTTCTGGCGCCGTTCTTCGCCACCTTGCCACCAGCTGCCAAGATGTCCTGCACTGAAGTCATATTACAAACAACGGCTTGAAATCTGAGACCGGAAAAGATATTCGCTGTTGGCCTGCTCCAGCTTGGTTTGTGCGGCCTGGGTGGTTCGGATACCTTCCACAAGCTCCAACTCCAAAGCCTGCACCGAAAGGCTCAAAGTCTGAGTCTTGATTTTTGTTGTCTGGAGATCGTCTGACGTGCCCTGGGGCTGTGTGGAACCCTGCCTTGAAGTCTGCGGCCTCTTTCTCACGGAGCAAGGTCGCTGCCTTGCAACACAACTTTCTGGAAATAGGCTGGACTACAGTGCTGCTTCGAGTACAGGGGATGGAGGTTAATAAAGAATTGAAAGTACACAAGGCACACGCTACTTTGCTACATCTTGAAGGCAGTAAAAAGTATGGTACTCCGGAGTCACAAGCACCAAAGCTGCAGAACAAAGCCGCAGAACAACCCAGGAGGCTTGCAATTTTGCGAGCATCAGGCAATCTCCGCAAAGCCCATAGCTGCTTGCAACTGATAGCCTGCCTCTGTTATCCAACCTTGCGTTGCCACCGAAGCAGGCTCAGCCAGTTGAGTAGCTTTTTGGGGGGTTCCGCAATTCTGCAGTCCATTTTCCAGCAAAAGCTGGCCCTGGTGAAACATGTTCTAAACCAAGTGCATACCCAAAGCAAACGTGGGTGGATGCAGAACACTTGTGAGGCGAATCCAGCAGCTCCAAGAATCAACAACTCAAAGCAGCTCGTCTCACTCAGCACTTTGGCTGATCCAGCTCACGTGACGTTCAACACGAGACGTCTTCCAAACTTGATCTTGCAGGGTTGAGAGTCCATGGTTGCCGCGACCTTCAAAAAACACCATCTTTGGTCAAAATACCAAGGAGAAGTTGCGCGTGCTTGCAAAGCGGTGCAAAGCGGCGCTTGTGGCTCTCCGCTTGGATGCTTCGCCAGCCGGCCTCGCCGACCATAACGACACCAAGATCACGCCCCTCTACGAGCCAGCGCAGCTCGCCTTCGCGAGACTTTTTGGGACCTGTACTTCTAACAGGCTGGTTCTCAGATCATGGCCATTGATCCGATCTCCTCTTGACACGTCTAGCTCCATGGCCTCACCTGCACAGCAAAAATTGTGGCGCGACAGCTTTGCAGCTACATCTCAGAGCATTCGGTATCTGACTTGCGCAACGTCTCATCATGTGTGAGAACAAATTGATCTCGCAAGCAAGTCAAGTTGCGATGCCCTCCAAGGTGCGTGCTGGCGGGGTCGAAGAAAAGCAAGGTCTGCTCCCAATGCGTGGAGGCGGCCTACAGCGCATTCCAGACCATTCCAGGCCTGTCCCGACATAACGATGTCAAGCCGTGCAGCTGCACGTTCGGCATGCCTCTGGACTTGTTGAGAAGCCGGTGCCACTACAAAGCTCGCAATCGAACCACACCTCACAAGACAACCAAATCACAATGGTTGATGGAAAATCCAAGCCGACCCAGACTGCACGCAGTTTTGAATCCTGAGGCATTCACCACTAGGCCATGGAGGGTTCCCGCACGGTTGATTGTGGTCGCGAAGGTGCCACGCCCACTTTTACTGTCGCTTGCCAAGGCCTGTCACAGGTTTGCATGACCCCTCCTTCGAGTCGGCCAGCCTCGCAGTGCCATAGCCTCTCTGCAGTCCAAGGCAAACCTCGGCAGTTCTGACCAGCTCGGTTGAAGCTGCTCAAAAAGATGGTAGCAGGACTGTTTGCAATCACGAGAGCTCCAGGTGCTGCTTATGCCATGCACAACTTCGGGGGCCCCCGCACCTCTGAAGATTTGCCCAGCACCTGGCAGAGACGCTTCTTCACAGCGGATGCAGCACATCTTGAATCTTGAGCCTAACGGCTTAACGCAGGCAGGGAAGCCGACTCAGGTCGCAGGGTGCCAATGACAGGTTGCGAGACGTGCTGGTCAAGGGCCTGAATGGCAAAGCTGTCGTTACCACGATCAGAAATCGGCACTAAGTCATCGAGACACATGGAAAGCCAACGGCGACAGATCGACTCCAAATGGAGTTGTCCCCCAAAATCCTTGCATGGCGGTGAATGCGCGAGATGGCCTGACACCATGGCACTTGCTGGCACGTCTCGCAGGCTCTCCTGTTTGCCGCTCGACCAAACTGGCATGAGAGAAAGGCCCAACATGAAGGCAGCAGCGAGCAGGCAGCATCACGCCACCTAAGCATGCACGATGCCAACTTGTCTCGGACAGTCACGGTACAAACTTCCCAGCGACCTTCCTTCAGCCAACGGTCACGAGCGAATGCGACGCCTCAGTTCGGCTTGTATACATTCCGATTCTCTCAGGCAAACTACTCCTAGGAAGCGCTCTTGAAACTAGGCTGAGTATGGCGGCGGCAGAAACTTTGCCAAGAGGCTTGGGAACATGTCTTCGCACACAAGCATGAATCCTTGTTCAGCATGTGCGGGATCTTCTTCACATCACTTTCCATTCGATCATAATTGCGTTCAGCACTGTCGGACAAGTGATTGTGCTGCCGCGCGGCCCATCCATTCAGACAGGACCACGTCAACCTTACCAAACTTTAACCTGGGCGTGTGCACTCCAAGTTTTGGAGCAAACCAATGGCCACAAGCCATGTGCTCGAGCGGAACTCGGGAAAGCTCTGAAAATATCACGTAAATTACACGGTAGCCTTGCACTGATATCTAAGGTGCATGGCAGTGTATGCTCGTCCTTCCTACTGACTCCACAACGTACTGATCTCCTTTGCCAAGTGGCACTTCATCAACTTCAGCAGCTATCTCCTTCAAGGCCAGATATGAGAGTCAACTGGACTAGTATGCATGTCAATGTTGTACTGGTTGCACTGCTGGATGCAAGCTCCTCAATACAACCCTGGAGGATGAAAATGTTGTCGTCAAAGCCATTGACCGCGACTACGTCGCGTGCTAGGTCTGCCATCTCTGGGTTGGCCTCCACTGCGATCACCTGTTTCGCACCTGGCACGTGCAATACACATGGAGCTGGTCGAAACACAGCAGGAGGCCTGCCAGGAGTTTGCCGTGCAGACTTCATGAGGCTAGCCCTTCAGCAGTCGATGTCCTGAAGGTGCGCGGACTGCCCACTTCGCATGCAACAGAAAACCTGCTATGTGCAAAGCTTTCACCGGTAGCAGTAGCACTACCACCGCCACCACCTCACCACCCAACGCCACCACCAACGCGAGCGCAAAGCTCCGGTCAAAAAGCAAGAGCAAGTAGTTGTCTTTGCCTTCAAAAATTGCCTCCACTTGCAGCACGTCTTTTGTCTTCTCAATCTTTGTATTTTGCTGTCGGAGGCGAGGGTTGGTCTTTCCTGTCCGTTTTTGCTTGATCCTGCATTTCAACGTAAGATGAGCCAGGGTAGATGGCTTTAACTTGGCTCTTTCCAGTAGGCGCGTGCCAGGCTGCTTTGAGATTGGCATCTCATGGCCGCTCCTCATGGCTGAAACAGCAGTGTGCGCGCCCACCAGTCAATCAAGCTGCAAAAAAATATTCTGATTTGCCTTCAGTGATTCAGAGGCGAAGCAAAAGTGCTGAGCTAACTGCAACAACATGATGCAAAGAAGCCACGCTTTAGCAAGGTTATCAAAACAACAGTAGTGGACAGGCGTAAAGTGGCTCCATGCCAAATGATGGGAGGCAAGGGCAGCATGCAGCGGGTGCTTGGTATCCGGAGGTCGTGGAACAAAGCACACGTAGGCTACGTTGGAGCGTGCAGTCCCGTCCTTCAGATTTTTCGAGATTCGGACTGGATCGCGGTCTGGGCTTTGGAGATGTGAATTAAACGTAACTACTGCAAATGAACTTCAAAGTTCAAATATGATACTGTCCCGTGCTCGGACAAGCAGAGTGTTGAAAATCAACACGACACTGTCCTCTGCTGGAACACCACCCAGCAATCTGCATGCAGCAGTCGTTTGCAGACACACACTCGAGGATCAAGTGTTCAGAAAGCCGATGCAGCCAGGTCGCCAGCGATCACGCAAGTTTCAGAACACGACGTTCGAAATTGCTGGAGCGAAAACATCAAATGCATTAACAGCTCCAGCAAGCATGTCAACCGTGAGTTGCGGATAGCAAACCCAGAAAGGCAAAGGAATTGACTGCGTTCACCGAACATTCGAGGTTCCGCCCCTGTCCACACTCTCTCTCTCTCTGCAATAGGTTTCCTTACGTGTCCTGAAGATCCTGAAGCATCAAATGGCGACACCACCAGCTTCTGTCCTGGGTCAAGCAACCGGCGAGTCTTTGCGCTTTTTCTGCATCACCTTGCTCCTTTATTTCTCAACAGCAAATGTCGCTGTTCCGTATAACCTTGTTTCTTCCAGCGTTGTCCGCATTGCTGTTGCTGTTGGTTCATGTTCTTCTCAAAGTCACTCACCCAGGATGCATCAACTTCATAGTCCGTTGCCTTCTTCCAGCATACTCAAGGGCAGGCCTGCTTGTGCTGCAAATACTGAGAGGATGCCGGTCCCACATCCCACTTCCAAAACAATCTTGTCCTGGAGCAGCGAAGCCCAGGCAGATGTGAATCGTCTCCAAACACGTCGCATAGTGCGTATCACAAGGAGGCCTGACCTTGCAAGTCTCAAAGATGGCTTTTCGAAAAGCCTCAGTTCGGACGGAATCCTCGATCATCTCCCTGTGCGTGCCTCCACGAAAACATGACACAGAGTGGTTGTCGAGCATGTGAAGCATATGGCCGGAGAATTTCATCGGATGCCTAAGTCACTGTAGGCGCCAGAGTCCTCAGGTACCTTTGGCTTGGCTTCGCCAAATGCCTGAAGCAGACACGACAAACACGATATCGGCATCTTCGCAAGACCGAAATGGTTCAGCAGGAGTGAAGCAAGCATTCCTGGCTTACGAGTCCGAGCAGCAGCTCCGGGATGCCACTGGCTCATCCTTTGGACCTTGCGTGCTCAACCACCAACTGCCAACTATGTGTCTCTTTGCGAGTCAGCAGGCTAACGGGCTCAAGAGATAAGAGATGCACATATGCCTGCAAGAAGTCGCAACAAATGCACAATGGCCGAACCGAACTGGAAGGCAATGTGCGAATGAGGTCTATGGAGAGTCGAACAACCAAAAACAGCTGCACAGAGGCCAACACGTAAAAAATCAAAGAGTCTCCTTAAGATTCTAGATATGGCAGCTTCTGCCTAAAATGAAGAGCTGATAGCTGCGCCGCTAATTAGTGCATGTGCCGCTTAGATGTCAAACAAGGCCGGGACGCTGCGGCAACAGCGCCGGTTTGCCCATATCTGAGGTCACCATGACTACATCTGCATGTACTATCACGTACTTGCATATTCCTGCACGCTTGACGTGCCTTGTGGCACAGCAGAGCCCCAGCAGCCGCAGAGCCAAGCCGTTGCCTACACACCGCCGCTTCCACACCTGTTCCTGACCAAATGCAGGTCCACTACATGAAGGGCCTTGAAACACAACATTTTTAACAAACCACCTGCGCGGTTCAGGCATGGCAGCGTAGCTGAGCTCGGCGGGCAGCATGCATGGCCCGCGCGGATGGGCGTGATCATGATGTTGAAGCTGTTCATAAAATATCTTGACAACACGTGTTATGATACGCACTATAGGCCAGCTTGACCGCGGGCCACAGAAGAAAATGAGATCATGTTGTCGCGCCACCTTTACATAGCCAAATGGCCGGGCTACGCACGACACAGCCACACAAAGATGAACAATCACAAAGTGCTTGAGAAAATGACCCTCGACGATGATGATGATGAGGATGGACAGGCCAGGAAGAAGATAACAGCAAGAGCATCGCTTTGATGGGGCAGGAGATAAGCTGCGTATGTCACCGACAAGCCTTCAAGTCAGCTTCGTCAGTCGACTCGTACTGCGCAATATCCTGCGCAGCGCATCTTGGTTTGCACACGAGGCAGAAGCTTTCGGTTTACATCTCTGAACTGCAACATTTCAGAGCGTGCCGCCAGGTGAAGCGCCGCTGAAGAGATGGCAGCGGTCGCTTTGGCGATGTCGGCGGTGAGCATCTCCTCGATTTTACAGCCTTTCCGAATTCCTTCAGGAACAACCCAAAATGAACCATTGCCTTCTTCTGCTCATTCGACGTGATTTGCCACTGCGTGGCCTGCATAGGGATGAATTTGTGGCTTTTTACTTTCACCCACTCGCGGCTTGTCCCAGTCTTGCTTACTTGTGGCTTGTTTGTTGGGTCCAATTGCTTTTTGCTCACAGATATTTAGTGCGCGAGAGCTCTGATCACTTGCAGCTTCTCCAGTCGCTTTCAGAAAGCCCTGCTCTGCTACTGCTTGCAGCACGACAAACGATGTCTCCACAAGTCCAAGGATGCAAAGTGATTATGAAGTTTACGTTGGCATTCTTTAGTTTGGTGTTTGCAGGTGTTCAGTGTGTTTTTGTTTTTACAGGTGAAAAGCTTCAGTGCTTACAGGTATTTTGGGTGTTGGCTGCGCGGTGTCTTCTTATTAGCGCTTCCCGGCACTTTTTGTGCAAGAGATGTTCATGTGGTGGAGTCAATGCTGAGCTGTAGGCTTTATGCTTCTTGACTTCAGGGATTCTGAGATTTTAGATTTTCCAAGCGTCAGTGACGTTGCGTTTCTGGCTTTTTGAGGCTCTGGGGTCCAGAGTTTTTAAGCTTAGCCTGGTTCAGGGTTGGAAGTGTAGGGGAGTCCGTCTCCTTTCTTGGTGTTCTTTCTCCGTTGGAGCTTTTGCTTGAGAGACTTTGTCATTGAGGGTTAAGGCATTTAAGTGGGGCTGTGGGGTTTGAGGCTTTTGAGTGTGATAAGCTGGTGAGCATCAGACGTATGCTGTCTAGGGAAAGGCTTGTCGACTGCTTTTCAGATGGTTCGCCGTCTGCGGGACTGCCTCCCAACTGTAATCTCTGTGGCAGCTGCCTGACCATTTACCCACACGGCAGCCCTCTGCTAAGCATGCGTTAAATCGACAGCAACTGCGCAGAAGCACTTCCAAGCATGCTGGCCGCATCTAATGGCTAACATGATCTTATGAAGAAATGGCCTGCGACTCATTTTGGCACCACATCGTGTACTTCCAGTACCTGAAAGTGCGCAGCATACAAGCAAGACTTGCCCCAGCCAAAACAGGATTGCAAGCTGCCAAGCAGGCACCAATGCGCAAGGCTGCCTTTAAATTTTCTTGCAAACAACATCTGATCAACCTTTCTGCTCATGCAGACCTGCACATGTGGAGCATCCTGCCACGAAGCCTACAAGCCACGCATACCCTGTACAGCTCAGCGAGATGAGCCTATTCTGTTGCTTACGAGCGCTCAGTGGCTCAGTGACTTTCAACCGCTGAGCCTCGGTTGCATCAATAGTGTCCGCAGTGACACCAACATGACGTACCGTTAAATGTGGAACCTGAGACCACAATGAACGTGGTCTCCAAAAGGACAACCAACAGGACAGTTGAGCAAGATCTCAGCGGCAAACCCAACAGAAAATTTCCCCCAAAGGCTGCGCGAGTGGCGTCTCACACTGGTGGCCAAATCAGCAAAGAAGAAGTGTTTCCTTACACGAGCAGAACTCATCAACAATCAGATTGCTGCCTTGACCTGTATGTTGGCTACAGTTTCAAGCCGCAGCGGGCTTTAGAACTGCTATGAAGTCAATCACTGCCTGAGACGCTAGCGCGAGCAATCCAATGCTGGTACAAACTGTGTGCCGAAGAACATGGCAAAAGCTGACGGAAAATAAGCATTCTATGCTGGTCCAGCTTCGCCTTCTTCTCACCTAAGCGATTCACAGCGATGCTCAATGCAACGATCTATTCACATGTCCCACAAACAACTGGCAGCTAACAAGAAATGTCAGAGTTAAGCTGATGCAGCTCACTTGGCATTCAGGTCCCAGCTGAGGCCAGATAGCTGACCACCACCACTGCACCGACGCGCCGCGTCCTCAACGGCCTCATGGAAGAGCGGGCTTAGACCGATAGGTCCTGGCCCTGAAGTAGACCCGAATGATAATGCATCCCTAAACCCTGAACCCCCTTCGAACTCTGAGCCATCCTTCACTTCATGCCGTTAGGGCTTGGGGATTTTGAAGAAGCCCTAGGTCCCATGTATTCCCTAGGTGGAACCCTCAACCCAGTAATAGTGACTATAAGTACTATAAGGGATAATATAAGGTTTTACGGTTTCCGACACTATCACTCCCAGCAATGTGGCTTTCAAGATTTAGCTGTCAAGTTCGTCTTTTGCGCAGCGTGGCTTCCATCAATACAATCTGCAAACCTCTGAACCGCCCATTGATGCTCAGTCGTGGTCCCCTCTCGTGCCAGCCATCAGCGGCTGCGGTGTGAGTGGTGAAGCAGTGGCTGTAGCACGGGCTAAGCCTTTGCATCAAAGGAAAAAATCTCAAGCGGAGCAAATTGAAACCAATTCGATGCCACATCTGAGAATCGGACTTGCATCTGGGCTGCGGGGCAGCTCACCGAGAAGAATCTCGTAGTGCTCCTTGCATTCTGGCATACTGCTTGTTTGAAGGACGCAACAAGGTTCCATTTCACAACCTGGAAGGGATGGGAGGCCAGTTCCATCCGGTCAAGCCAGTCTGCGTTGACTCGGCTAGCAAAGTCACCTGCTTGGCTGTTCCGCGTGCTGAGACAAGTCTTGCTGCAGTTCCACATGAAGGAATGGTGTCCCGAGCATGCTTCTTAAGGACTTTGCGAGCCCAGTGCCTTCAGTTTTGATGACCGCGGCAACCTTTTCCAAGGCCTGTTGCAAGGTGATCTCTAAACCCTAGATTCTGTAGCATTTTCTTGCCTCTTGCTGAACCCATGGGGCTGCCAATATAACAACAGCTGTGCCCCAGTAAACACGAAGCGAAGCAGGTCACGAACTCACGCACCACAGGACACCTTGTGGATGCTGGGATGTTGCAAAACGCACAAAGCCTGGCCTTCTTCGGTCGCATGCGCTGAACCTGCCTGATGCTTTCAGCATGTTGCACCTGCAAGATGTTCACTTCAGAATTTCAACTCTAATCAGCACGTATCTCCAAGTGAGTTCAAGCTTCCAAGTGCAGGCATGCCGACAAGACATGAGTGCCAAGATCGAAGTGCAGTTGTGCAAGGGTTTTGGGTCACCTTTAAACCACACAATCACAGCTGGCACAGGCTACCTTTTCACTCACCTTGTGCCAAAGGGGCTCCAAGTAACAACTCACAGGTGGGCATCAGAATAGGCTAT